GAATGTGGACTCCTCAGAGGGTAATATGGCAGAACACATATCTCAAGAGCCAGGAAAAGACTCATGGCACTTTATGCAAAGTGATTTTCCCTGAATTCATTACTTTTTCTGCTATAAAATCAGAATTGAGGGGGAAAATAATTTGGTCACATTGATACATGAATGCAGGGAGGGAATATATTACTATTCTGGAGAAGTAATATCCTTAAATGGAAATAAATCTGCAGAAATTTTATTTCAGTTGGACTTGAAGGTATTTCCAGTAAATACCATTAGAGACCAAGAGAGAGAAAACATGAAGCAGATTGGAACACGATATAACAAACACATTACCAAGTTATTATCTACGCTAATGAAAACTACAAAGAAACTGCCTTAATGACACAGGGAGGTCCCAGAGCGTGTGGGGAACTGTGTGTGGTTACAGCCTGGCCTCCTCGGTTTAGGGCTATGGCTGTGTGTTTATATCAGACCAAAGAACATAATCATTTGGCATGTATTCTGCATTGATTATTATCTGTCAGTAGTCCTTCAACATGCACAAACATGATGCATTTCTGTTTCTCTGAGCTTTATTGACTTAGTCTAGATATCTGTACAGTGCTTACAAGTGGAAAAGTGTGGAAAGCAGTGCCATTATGGCCTTAGCTTCACATATGCCCTGTGTGAGCAGGCAAAATTTGGAGCAGGGGTCACCATAGAGAACAGAAGAATGGGAAAGGAAGACAATAGCGGAATACCTGTATCACATGATGAATTCATTTCTGCTTTTCTAAAGCCTTTATCTTGGTTCTCTTCCCCCTCCCCAAAGCCATTCTCCCAGAAAAGGGAAATAGATCATGGCCTCAACACCACCAGTTGATAGAATTTAGAATCACTGATGTTCTTTCCAACAGGATCTCCAGGGTAAGGGATCCCTAGATACTAGAGCTCCCAAAGAGTTCTCTACTCAACCCCTGCTGGATAACACATATCCTGGCCTGTTCACCAGGAAGTATGCCAAATTTGCATTTCAGTAAAGTGCCTGATAAATATTTAATACTAATATTAGTTATTAGTCTATCATTATTATTATTATGAAACGAAAGGAGGAGAGTACACTAACAGGAGGTACAAACAAAATATAGAAAAGTAAGAAATTCTAAAGTTCTCCTTAGTGATGTGGAGATCATCAGTAACCTAATGAGAGCATTCCTGTCAAAGCACACTGAGCATTGAAGAGAAGGGAAGGAAACTGGTCAGAGAGTAGAAATCCTTTGGAGAAATTAGCATGGGAAGAATTGGTAAAAAGACTAGACTGCATCTGAAGCTAGGTCAAGACTTATTTTTTTCTTTTTTCTCAAACAGGAGGGGGAGCATGTGGAAACTCTGGAGTCTATAGATTCCCAACCTTCCTGCAATCTCCCTCCTCACAATCTTGCCTGCTCCAGGTCCTGACACTGTTCATGGCTTTCCTAGTATGTTTATGCTTCCCAGAACAATTGGAAATTCTTCTGTAAATTGCTAACCCACAGGAAGAATATCAGAAATCTATAGATTTAGAGGTTTTGTTCCCCTTATATTCTTTATACATACTAGCTAAAATATTAGACCACTTGCTAAAATATTAACACCCTTTTCTTTTCTTCCTTTTCTAAGATGTGGATCATTTAATCATCTTTCTGGGGATCTAGATGGAATAAATGACTCATTTCATGGAGGCTGATGGCCAGAGGGTGAAGAAGGCCCAGGAGCTGTTTGTAGGGCATTTGTTCCAAGGGTTGATCGGGGTAGTGCCTGACTTGGGGGCCTCAAACTCCTTTCTCTAGAGAATAACAACTCAATACTCTTCTATTTCTAAGGCTATCTGGTTTTCATTCTTCTTAAAAAGATTTCCAAAAGTTTTAAAAGTTCTCACACCAAAGGCATTGAGTCATCAAAACACTTCTACTCTGGGGACCAGTAGTTAGCGTAATGGCTATGTTGCTGGACTCCCACATAGTCGACCCTGGTTCGAGTCCTGGACCCGGTGACTTAAAACTAACACCAGGCACATGTGCATGTGTGCCCAAGATCCCGAGAGGAGAATGGAGGAAAAGGGATTGCGGTGTGGCCATCCCCCCTTGGGGGTGATTTCTCACTTTATTTCTGTCTCTCTGTCTCTCTCTGTCTGGCTGGCAAGTGCATGTGCCCTATAGCAAAAACCTCTCAAAAAAAAAAAAAACATGTCTACTCTGTATAGGTTTTTTGCTATTCATTTTTAGGAGCATTACAAATTAATAATAGGTCAGTAAAAATAAGTCTTTGATCATCTCCAGCCCCCGAAGTCCCTTGAACACTTCCATATTCTGCATTTCCTTAGGGTTTATTCCCTATAATTCTCTTTCATAAGCATGTGATTCTTTTCCTCTCCCATTGGTCATATTTGCAGTATTTTTCTTATTGACAAAATAACTGTTGAGAACATCAGCAATTGAACTCAGAACCTTATATGTGAATCCTCGTATACTGTGATAATCTGAGCATGGGTGGTTGGGACAATGGATAGTGCCCATTGAGTCAAATAATCTCTCTCTGTTTTGGAAAGATACCATGACCTAGACTTGAGAAGCCTTACAGATGTTAATGAAAGAATAAGTACTATAGACAGTTTCTTACTTTTTTGCTTTTTTTTTTTTTTTAAGTACAATGGTATGTTCTTTTAAGCCCTGCTAACTCTTTATTACCTATAGGATAGATCCCAAACCCTCTGCCATAGCAAGAAAATATTATATTGTACCACCAAATCTTAACATATTTTTAAGTATCATCTTTTGGAGTTTCTACATCTGTGTTCTACATATTTTTAATGCATTTATGTATGCTATTTCTTCCTTCTAGAAGTCCCTCATTTCACATCTACTTCTAATTGGAAAAGATTTCTGATCATTTATATCTGATTCAAACATTCACTCTTTTGTGGAATGTCTGGCAATTCCTCACACAGAAACCTCCTAGCTATGTATATATACTTGTACCACAAATCTTTTTTAAAATTTGTTTTATTTAACTTTTTAATTTATTATTACTATATTTCCCGAGAAAGACAGAGAGAGAGAGAGAAAGTGAAGAAGCAAGCCTCCAGGTTTAGGACTCAAACCATGGTTGCCCACATGGGAGTCCAGCACCCTTAACCATCACACCACCTGCCGGCCCCTTGTGCTGCACATCTTATTGCATTTCTTTTCTTCTTCATCTTGGTCTTCTTCTTCTTTTCTTCTTCTTCTCTTCTTCTTCTTCTCCTTCTTCTAAATTCTCAGAAGGTGCTTGTGTTCACCTGAGTGACAAAAAAGAGAGAGGGAGACTATACTTCCCAATGAAGCATGGTCACACCACAATCTCTTCTCCTTTTCTTCATGCTGCCAAGATTTGGGGCAAATGTGTTCATGTGCCCAGAATATTTTCCGACCTGCTATGGAGCTGTAATTTGAACTGCAGTTAGCCGTGTGGGATCCTGCTCACCTTAACCACTATGCTATAGGACCAGCCCTTTACTATATTGCTTTAATTGTTGAGTTTGACTCAATGTAGGTATATTAATACTTGATTTCAAATGTCCAATTCAGTTTCTTGTAAATAGTAGTTAATAAATAAAATGTTTACATTGCTTACCCCTCCCTCTTCCCAAATAAATTGCTCATATAATTTTTAAAGTTCTAAAGCATATTTAAAATCTGATATTCACTGGTTAGTCTTTAACCAGCTGGTAATGCCTGACATCCTCCTGTAGGCACTTTACTTCCTTAATTAGAGTCTTCGGTTTCGTTAGAGGAAACTATCTTTGGAGAAATAAGAATTCAAATTCAATTTCAGCTTTTTGGTAGGATATATGCTCCAAAATACAAATCTGGAAAGAAGAAAAACCCAACCAAAAGTTCACTGCTTATCTGCTTTAACTTATTCTTGTTAAAGAGGAGAAGAATTAAGAAATAGACAGGTGATTGTTATAAAGCCAAGTGGTGATCTGGAATCAGATCCAGAACCAGAATCTCCTGATCAACATTCCTAAATATTCAAGATTACAAAAAAATTAGATTAGGAATCAAAATATCCAAGGTCCATTTTTGACTCTGCCATCAATAAACTGAGTGATTAAAAACAAAGCCCAGATAGTTTGGGTTTGGTTATTTTATCTGCAAAATGAATAAGCCTATAGCTATAAAAGTGTTGTGAGGATTAAATGTGATACAAGAAATGCAAGAAACATTTTGTAAACTGCTTGTGTTTATAATGACTTTTATTATCAAATTAATTCTAGTTTGTAGCAGATAAAGAATTCTGTAGGTCACATCTCTGGCTGAACTCTCCCTGGCCTTTGCTCCCCGCATTATGCGAGAATTGGCAGCTTGGGCACATCTTTCTTTTTTCTGACTTTTCTAAGATAGGATCTTCTCTGTTGCCATCCACCTACCATAGCCTCCCCGCTGGGACTACAAGTGTACATCAGCCTGCCTGGCTCTTTCAGAAAGTATCTCACTATGCTGCCCAGACCAGCCTTGAACTCATGATCCTTCTGCTTCAGTCTCTCTAAGTTGCTGGGAATATAGATACACTGCTGAGTCAAACTTTGAGGTTGGACTGGGGATTGAAACAGGACTTGCCATATGGCTCCAGTTTAGAGAGCACAGCAGAACAGCAACACATGCCACCATGGCTAGTCCAGCAGTTGCCCTTGTCACACACATCCAATCAAAGCTCTCTTCTAACCACAAGTGTTCTTGGACTCAACTTTTTTTTTTTTTAATTTCCACCAGAGAGAAATAAAGACAGAGACAGAAAGCACGCACCCCTGTTCCCCTTCACCCACCTCACCTTGGAGTATGGTACACAATCCCAACTCCTCTATTTTTCCATCCTGTCTAGATTTGGGGCACGCACATACATGCATCTGGTGTGTTTTTCAAGCTACCAGGGCCAAGAGTTGAACTGCATAGTTAGCAACATGGGATCTGGCGCTATTAACACCAGGCCACAGGGCCAGCTTGGACTTTATTGTTACTCAGTGACTGATAAATACTTTTACAATGATGGCAGCAAAGGTAGGGTATAGACTCGCTTCACGACCTGTGTTCTACCGTCATGGGAAGCTCGGGGGTGGGGGAGATTTTAAATCCATCCATGTAAAACCTAGTATTCAAACTTGTACGGGAAGCTCGGGGGTGGGGGAGATTTTAAGTCCATTCATGTAAAACCTAGTATTCAAACTTGTGGAACCCGCACTCCTTCTCCTCTTCACACCTAGTATAGTGGTTATATGTTAGGTTGTCAGGAAAGTCATGACGTATTTTTCTGTTTCTCTATGCAAAATGAGTCATGCCTTTCTCCACAACCTAAAGGGAAAGATTATCTCCTATATGGCAACCCAGCATTTGTCTTTGCATTCCCAAGGGAGAGCTGGCTAATACCGCGGTACTCTGTAGACTATAGCCTTTAATCACCTCTGATCCAGATTGCTAGTATTGCCAAGTGAATACAGGCTAAGAAAGTGCAGACGTCCTAGGTAAAGCTTCCACAGACACTGCTTTGCCTGACAGATAAATGCATTGCTTGGTGGACACCTTCTTATTTTGTCATTAATGAGATGCCCAAAGCCCAGATTAATTCCCCGAGACTTTGAAGATTGCCTCAATAGGCTTTTCTGAAAATCAGTGCATTATAACCACTGGTTACCCTTTAGCCACCCATTTGGAAATTTGGATATAAAAGTGATCCCATTTTCTTGCCCTGTTTTATTTCTCCTTGTGGCTCTATTATCACCAAGGGACACTCAGATTTATCCGCCTTAATAGTATATTTCATTGTTTTCCATAGGACTAAAGATAATGGATTTGTATAAAGAAATGGATTGGATTTTTCTCTTTCTGTTGATAACTTAGTAGGAATTCCAAAATTATTACTTGGGAGATTTTGCTCACTGTGAATAGATTATTTTCTGTGCCACATTTTAATTTATCCTGTCTATATCAATTTTTAAAATACATATACCTATATAAATCTTTAAGGGTATATTGTTCATTCTCTCTGGATCTGATAAAAAAAAAAGAGTTGAACAAGTTTCTGTTAATTAAAATTGTATGCAAGAGGGAGTGAGATACTTACGGGTCAGTCTTTGGGTTGTTAATTTTGTGGTAAGTAAGGTGTGCCCGGTGGCACTTGGTGTCTAATTCACTATCACTTTGGACATTTAAATGTTAATTATCTTGGTTATAAAAATTATTATATATGGCTTTTCCATGCCAGCACCCTGGATACTATAAGTCATCATTGTATTTGAGAAGATATTGCAACATCTAGGTTGTCTGAGGGTAGGGTGCACTCTCCAAGCAGAATTATAAAGACCTGATAAATAGTTTTTTCCAATCTGCTGGAAAAAGAGGAAGAAGTTATAGCATGAAGAGATGGAGGGAATCTACATGCAACACATCAGGGAAATAAAAACCAGAAGTGGGCTTGATGAGATCCTAATGGAGTCCCAAACAGGTAGGCGTGCTAGGCTCCAGCTAAAATGGCTGGGTATGGAAGGGTAACTAGCTGGCTGGAAAGTTAACTGGTACAGCAAAATACATTCATTCGCACGAAATTACCTTCTTGATAATGAATTTTAACTGACTTTTCCCTCACACCCCAATATATATATGTATGTGCGAGTGTGTGTCATGACTTCTTAAATAGATTAGCTACATTGATTTTTACTTTGAGATTTCCAGGCAATCACACAATAGTTGAATTTTTCAATCCTGCTGCTACATTATATGTTAATAAAAGCCAATAGCAAACATTTAAAAAGTTTTCCTAAATTAGGGCTCTTCCACAAATCAATAATCTCATTGACACGGTTCAAGAAGCTATCAATTCTATGAGGACCACTAATGGCTACAGAAAGCATGCATGTAAACACAACCAGAAAAATCAATGTTCTCTCTAAGTCATCAATAATTCTTGATGGCAACTGGAATTATGAAAAATGTTACATGTACTCTGTGTCTTAAGTATTTGAAAAGGACCCACATTGTGGTTGCTGATATACTGGTATTCAGAACAAAGCAGGTATAGGTTAGGTTTTGTTGATCAGATAATACACACAATACCATGTGGTTTATTTTTGTTTTGGTTTTTAGAGGTTTTGCTTTAGGGCATACATGCTCATTAGAGAGAGAGAGAGAGAAAGATACAGTGAAAGGAAAAGTGAGGGGCCATCAGGTGGCATCGTGGTTAAGGGCGCAGGGCTCCTGCATGGCCGACCATAATTTGAGTTTAGGACCTGGCAACTTGCGTTCTCACTTTCACTCTCTCTCTTTCTCTCTTGCTCTCGCTCTGTCCCTCTCTGGTCAAATTAAAATAAAATAATAAATAAAATAATTCTTAAAAAAAAAAAAAGAAAGAAAGGGAAAGTGAGAAATCACTCCCCAGGGGGTATAGCCAGGCTGCAATCCCTTCTTCTCCATTTTCCTCCTGGGATCTTGGGCAGGCATGCATACATGCCTGGCATGAGCTTCAATCCACCAGGTCCAAGACTCAAAATAGAGTCGACCAGTTGGGAGTCCAATGATGTAATTTGCCACATGGCTTCTAAGATAGAGGGTCATACACACATAGCTCGTTTGACAGCAAGAGCAACATGCAAAGTGAACAGGGAGATGAACTAGCTTGATTGTGGCAGATGATGTCTCAGAATAAGAGAAGCTGTATATTGGCCAAGTCACTTACAGGAAAATTGCAAGTAAAAATGCTCTTTTGAGTCCTGTTTTTTCTTTTTGATGGAGATAGGTATCCCTCTTACTATAGCTGCAAATTCAAGGATAACTTATTCACCAGTTCTCAAAAAACTATAGTTAAGCAGTTTCCTGGGACACTTGAAAACTCGTAAAGAAATTAAAAGGTTCAGTTGCACAGTACACCTCACTTAGGTTATAGAATTATCACAAAAGTGTACTCACTAGGGACCAGCAGTTAGCGTAATGGCTATGTCGCTGGACTCCCATGTAGTTGACCACAGTTCATGTCCCGGACCCAGTGGCTTAAATTCATGCCAGGCACGTGTGCGTGCGTGCCCCAGATCCCGAGAGTAGAACGGAGGAGAAGGGATTGCGGCATGGCCAACCACCCTGGGGGGTGATTTCTCGCTTTCTGTCTCACTGTCTCTCTCTGTCTGTCTGGCGAGCGCATGCGCCCTATAGCAAAAACCTCTCAAAAAAAAAAAGTGTACTCACTAAAGCTAAGAACTATAGTTTCTTTTCATGCTCTTAATTTATCTCAGTGGTTACTGGAATATATCTACTCTTCTCAAGTGGGTGGTATTTGGCATTTATTCCCATATATCCCCATTTTAGAGAGAGAATGACCAATAGAACTGTTTCTGGTGAGAATATGTAGCTCCTAACCCCAATACTATAGCAATGAACAAATATTTTATGCTCTCATATGGTAACTTTTTCTGTAGTTGACTCTGTCTCTGATTGAATATTATTTTCAAGATATAAATTTTTATTAAAATGAAAGAATGTTTACACATGTAATGAAGGCTCACCCTCAAAGAAACAGAATTAGTATGATCCTGGGAGTTCCTCAACGCAGTAATGAATTCACTATTCTTCAATCAAATTTAAAATTTAATTATAGGTAATTGTTCTTTTTTTAATGAAGTGCTTCTGACATAATGTTCCATTATTATATAATTAGATAATTAACTCCATTAATCACATTACAACCTATTTTCTCCATGTTTTCTTTAAATATTTATACACTGTGCCCATTCTTACAGCCACAAAGCTCACCATAATCATGAGTACAAGTCAGGGTAGGTGGGAGAAGAACTTGGTGAAGGATATACATGGCTATTTCTCCATGTGAACCTCACATGGTCCTTAAACATTGCAAAGTACTTTCTATGTTCTCAAACCTATGACAAGCAAGCAACATTTCACATATCGTTTGCTGACCATTTAATATGTGCCGTCAGATATATCACTAGACCTAGACTTAGAGGAAAGGAGTATAGCTATAGAGATAATTGAGGCTTACTCTCTGCTCTAAAGAGTTAATAATTTTATTTTATTTTTATTGCCAGAGGGCATGTGTACTTGCCAGATGGAAATGGAGAGACAGAATGGGAGAGAAAGAGAGGTAGGGGGAGAATGCATTCCCCCACGGGGATGTGATCACTCTACAATCCTTCTTCATTTCTCCACCTTGTCAGGATTTTGGACACTCAGACATACTCACTACTTTTTGAAGTTATCAGGACCTGGATTCAAATCATGATTGTCTACATATAATCCAGCTCCCTTAGCCACTAAGCCACAGAGCCAGTGCCTAGCATTTCATAATTTAATGATGGAGAATTTATAAAGGATGCTCATAGCTTCTTATTTTAAGGGTACAATAGAAATTCAAGTACAATATCTGTTACAGATATGAGAAACTATTAGATTTAGTGTACCAGTGATGACAGGGGAGATCAGTAGATGGTGGTTCTGGCTGCCTCATCTAGTTTTTCTGGTAACCTTGACTTATTTATATATATATATATTTGGAGAGGTTTTTGCTATAGGGCGCGTGCACTCGCCAGACAGAGAGAGACAGAGAGACAGAAAGCGAGAAATCATCCCCTGGGGGGGATGGCCACGCCTCAATCCCTTCTCCTCCATTCTCTCGGGATCTTGGGCATGCACGCACATGCGCCCAGCGTGAGTTTAAGCCAAGGGGTCCAGGACTCGAACCGTGATCGACTACGTGGGAGTCCAGCGACATAGCCATTACCTAACTGTTGGCCCCTTAGTTATATTTTAGATGTTGAGTTAACACTGTATCACAGATGAGTCCTTGCAAGTCTGTATTAGCCAGCTCATGTCCTTGCTTACATCCTTACTTCTCAAGAGTAATATATTGGCATGGAATGCTACTTATTATTTATGTTTGCACATAAGCACATTTTAAAATTGCCCAGGGCAGATGTCTAACCTGGCGGTGCAGTCTTGCATTACAGAATCTTGGGCAAGTTGCTTAACTTTGCTGTCCCTCGGTTTTCTCACCTATAATACAGAAAATTGTAGAATTTTAGAAGATAATTAGTATAAAACCATTCTTGTCCCAGCTATGGTAGTACAGGTGGTAGAGCACCTTCTACAATGGTCCAGTCACATGGAAGACTGTGGTTTGGATCGCGGGTCAACCTTAAAGAACTGGACCCGTGCATGTGTTCACCTGTGATCCTGGCAGGCTGGAGGTGTGGAGAGGTAGGGTGACCATAGCCTGATGAGACCCTGTAGAAGGGGCCTATTTCTGTTTCCCATTAGGGAGATAAACTAGACTTAAAAATGTTCCCTAACACCTGGCTAAAATGTAAATTTTTATTATAATTTTAATTTTATCACTAGCAAAAGATGCCATGAAAACAGGCCCCATCAGTGTCCTCTTCCTGTCCAAAATTCATATCTGAATATCCATAAATAGTTCTCATGGGAGTGGCTGGGGGGTCATGTGTATTAAAGGCTTCCTTATTTGTGGAAAGCAACAGAAAGACATTTGAGGCCCAGCATGGTGGCACAGTCAATGAAGTGCAAGACTGGAAGGCACACGGAAAACCACAGGTTTGGATCCTGGGCCAGTCTGAAACCATGCTAGGCAGATACATACTGGTGTGCCCAAGATCTTGATGACATAGAGGGCTGGAGAGGGGTGGGGGGTCACAGCATGACACGGCACAATCTCTCAGCATGAGGTACCCTGCTGAGGGTACCTCTCATTTTCTCTTTCTTGCACACACGTGTGCACATGCATGCTCGAGCATGCACTCAATCATGAATAAAATGAACTTTATAAATAGGGAACATATTCTTCATTTACTCAAAAAAAAAAAAAGAGAAAGAAAAAGTAAAAGGAACGGGGGCAGCCTGTGTACTCGTGGTTAAGGTGGCTGGCTCTCACGTGACCAACTGCACAGGTTGTATTCCAGAGTTGGAGGCTTGAAAAACACACCAGGCATGTGTGCACATGTGCTCAAAGTCCCAAAAGAAGGAAGACATGAAGGATAAGGGATTGTAGCATGACCATTCCTCATGAGGGGTGGTGGGTGCTATTCTGTATTTCTCTCCATCTCTATCATTCTCTCTTCTCTGGGAAGCATATCTGTTCTCTGGGAAATGACTACTGCCTTAAAGTAGGCTCTCCATTATTTTGATGTTCTAGGAGTTAATCCCAATAAATATAGCACCAATGAACATTCTCAGGGCTAAAGTAGCAATCATACAAAAATGAATTAAAAAAAAGAAAAAAACAGAAATGAAAAGGAAGAGTCAAAAAATAGGAAAACAATCTGCTCTTATTGCTTCAATGTACTGATATGGGGTTACCCCAGATTTCATTCAACTGCTTTGTTTCTCACAGGTCAGAATCATTCAATTTATGGGAAACCACCTAAAACCTAGAATGTGAGACTCTGTTTCTTTTTTTTTTCTTCTTTAATATAGTTATTCATTTATTTGTTAAGAGAGAAAGAGGTAATCCCAGTAGATGACCACATGGTCCCCATATTGTGCAGTGATTCCCTACCATCTGCACCACCATGGTTAGACCAAGAATCTCTGTTTTCCAAGGCACTGTCTGCTTTGGGAAGAACTTCAAGAAGAAAGGCTAGGAATCTCAGTATTAGATGAGAAACTAATGATTAAGTACTGCAGTAACAAATAGAACTTCTTAGAACTGTACAGAATGATTTTTATTCTTTTCTGTAACTAATGAGGAAAGAAAATATCATATGCTAAAAGAACTACTGTAATGAACACCCTGGCAGAGGGTACCATGGGCTACACATGAGAGTTTGTGATATACTGAATTCGCCCCAGAAAGAATCAGGGAACAGGGTTTTTTTTGTTTTGTTTTGTTTTGTTTTGTTTTTGAGAGATTTTTGCTATAGGGCGCATGCCCTCGCCAGACAGACAGAGAGAGACATTAGAGACAGAAAGCGAGAAATCACCCCCCAGGGGGGATGGTCATGCCGCAATCCCTTCTCCTCCATTCTCCTCTCGGGATCTTGGGCACGCACACACACGCGCCTGGCGTGAGTTTTAAGCCACTGGGTCTGGGACGCGAACTGTGGTCAACCACGTGGGAGTCCAGCGACATAGCCATTACGCTAACTGCTGGTTCCCAGGGAACAGGGTTAATGCCAGAGTTTCACCAAGAAAAGTGAGATGGTCCACAGGGCAGCCCTCTCTTTACACCACCCAGAACTGCTCCATGCTCAAGAAAATGCAGCCCAGAAGTATTTCTCAATAGTTCATGGGATTAAAACAAAGATGGGGCAGAAATTGACACAAGGAATTTAATTTTTCTGTGGTTCATTATCTTGTCTCTAAATATATAAAAGATTCTTCAAGTTAATATTTTGTTTTCTCTTTCCTCCAAGTATCTAGCTCACGGGTGATGCCCAACCAAGAATTATTAGTTCGTTGATTGGGCATCGGTGGGAACTCAGATGTTACATGCTAATAACTGGTGACGAGTTTGCAACAAGCATTTTGAAAGTTGTTACATATCCATTTTCCCATTTAAGAATTATCAATCCCAATTTACAGATAAGAAAACCGAGGGTCAAATATGCTAAGTTTTCCATAGTCAAAATCATGTTTCTATCTCAGCTCTTTCTACCTTTGATAGTCCTTGAAATAAACAAGTTTGAATTATAAAATAATGACACTTTGAGCCAGTTGATTACTTCTTTCCTGTAACAGGAGGATCTGATTAAATCATTCTTTCTCTAAATATTGCATTCAGGGATGTAGTTTGTTTTCAGTATTTTCACTCTCTGTGTTTCTTACTTGTTAGTGGAAAATCTCTTTGATTTTAAACTTTACTTAAGCCGTACGTCTTTTGCATATAATTATTCACTAAGGTTGCTGATACTTTTGAGACCTTGTAATAAAGAACGAAGGGCTACAAAAGTGAGGAAAATATCCAGAAACAAAACAATATAAATAGTAATCTGGATGTGTTCTCCAAGAAAACAGCTTTAAAAAGAAAGTGTATACTACTTTATATCCATCTGTGGGGTATAGGTGGTGCTAAGTTATGTTAAATTAACTCTGTTGCTACCAAGATATATCCCGGCATTTAAGCTGATGATCCTTTCAGCCCAAGACTTCTTGGTAGATGGGAAAAAATGGAGTGAGTGTTTGGAAAAAAGAAAAAAGAAAAAGCATTTGCAACTCGCATGGGTACTCAAGTGATTGAATGCAAAACTGGAATTGACTGAATAAAGAAAATTAAAGCTACAGAAAATAGATGTCTTCTCTTTACAGGCATTTATAGTATAACACTCCTAATTTTTATTTTCCTTTTTTTCCATAGAGTGCATGCTCTCACCAGAGACTGAGAGTCAGATATAGCCACACTTCAATCCCTTCTCCATTCCCCTCTAAGGACTTTGGGCATGCACACACATGCACCCAGAATGATTTTCAAGCTGCTGGATCTGGGGCTTGAACCATGGTCAGCCATGTGGGAATCTAGTGCCTTAACCACCATGCTACTTGCTAGTCTGCATCCTTAAATTCTAGAAGCAAAACTAATGTCTCTGAACCTCATTTTCACAGCCTGCAAAATAGTAAAGCAAACACCTGTCCTCTCTCTTGGCAAAGGGAAAAGGGAGAGAATGTGGCAGTCATGTCCTCCAGCCTGGTAGTAAGACACTGATACAGTGTCATTACCTGCAGCCTCGAGCACCAAGTCCTCTTCGTTTCCCCTCCTGACCTCAGTCCCTGTCCCCTTGTCCAGTTGCTGTTTGCAAGTCAATGCCAATTGTTTGTGAAGGTTGCTCTGTCAAACTGCCTATTCCCTCTTTGCACTCCATAAAAGAGCAATGTAAGGCCTTTTAAATCTGCGGCTCCTACCACGTTCAAAGGCCCACTTTCATAAATGGACAGAGTGAGTTTCTTTCCAAGGTGCCTGAGTCTCAGGTGCAACTAAGGCCCAATGGACCAAAATTGTTTAGTAGAGCCCCTCAGGGTGCTAGGGAGCTCTGATGTTATACTTAGGTTTTAATAAGGAAGTCTAAATGTCTTTCTGACAGTCCTGTCCTAGCTATGTCAAGTGCACGCCACATTGTCCTGCAGGGGGACCCTTATATCATACCGGGCAGTTGATGAGCAGGGGCAGGTTAGTGATGGCAAAGGCCATTTTCCCTGCATGGGATGGATTCAAATGCACAGAAAGTACCAGGTCAAAAGTTCAAAGTGGTGCTTGTTCGTTCTTTTGGCAGAAGTAGGATCACAAGGGAGAAAGAGTTACACTTTGCAAGAACTGAAAAGAGAGAGGATTTTGAAGACATATAAACCATCTCCAGTCAAAAGGCAGCTGCACTGCGCTAGACTCCTAAGACTACAAAAAGTTTCAGGCTGACAGTGTATCTTCATTCTGAAGGGAAAAATAAAAGTGTTTCCTCTAGTTCTGGCAGCCCAGCAAGGAAAAAGAGGTATTAGCAGAAGTCTAAGCCTTCAGGGGTCTGGCCCACATCCCAGCCGTATCCTGAGATAATGGTAGGACTTCCAAAAATTCTTGTGGCAGGGTTCCGCATTTCCTGTCCTAAATGGCTAGGCCATCTGGAATGTCTATTATGGAAACATTAAACTTATGGAACTGTCCTCGCAGGCTCCTGAAACTACTTCAAGTATTCTGCAGCATAAAAATAAGTTGAATAGAAACAAACTATGCAGATTACAGACTCTTCCAGTGGAGGAGGTACAAATGTACTGAAGTCATATGGAAAATACCGAAATACAAAAATGAGAATAAAAAAGAACATTTCACTGGGTGATTTTGAAGAGCTAATTTAGGATATAGATCTGAATCTAAGGTCAGGAGAGTTTGGTCATGGTCTTCTGGAGTTCTTACAAGTACCTTCTTGATGTACACTAAGTCTCTAGATGGCAGGGTGAAGGAGGGTCGGTGTATGACACAGCAACCTTCGCCACCCAGAAAGTGACCCAGTACCTTTATGATGGAGAGGCAGTTATGTCCTCTGTCTATATTGACA